GTCACCCCGAGCCTCATCCGAAAGGTAAGCGGAGCCCGCGGGGTTACACCGGGAACCTGCTGCGCTGCCTGGTCGCAGGGCTTTGGAAACACGGTCGCTGCTGCTTAACCAATGACTAGATCTAGCGAGATCTGCTTTACACAGACTTTATATTCTTTGCGGTTTCTTGCACATATTTAAGCATAAGAGGGCAGGAGCCTGTTGCAGCTCTGAGCGTTTCCAGGGGCAGTTTGTCCTGCAGTCCGAATCGCTCTCTTCCCTTCTGTCTCCCTGCTCAGCTCTTATCCGTGAAGGCGAAATCTGCCTGTCAAGGGATAATCTCCAGGGGACTCTATATAAAGAAACAGTAGTGTCAAAACAGTTCACTGCTTTTCTAAGGGGCTGAGTCAACCAGGAGAAACCTCCAAGGGATATTTACCTCAAAGAAAACAATTTTTTCCAGCTTAGGGATGAGTTTTATTCTAATTTTGAGTCCAGGTATGACCACTCTGTTTATTTTAGCAGAGTTATAGTTTGTTGCTAGTCTTTTTTTCTTTTAGAGAAGACATCCATAAGCCACAGAAACGCCAGCAATTCTATCTTCTGTTTTCAACATTCTGTTAGATTGAGAACTTAAAACATGTTGTTGTGCACTGTATGAAATCTGAGCCTGTGAATGACTTTCATACAGTAGTAAAACTCTTTTAAAATAATAATAAAAAATAAATAAATATTGTCCTAAGTGGATGTAACCACAAAAAGCAACTACCAGCAACAGTAAAAAATTGTTTTGCTTTGGAATAGAGCAACTGAAAGTGTAATTGATGACGCCTACACCTGAATATATGGTCTGCATAGCAGGGCAACTGTTTTATCTACTACCTAGTGTCCAGGTGCAGGGATGAAGCTGAGAGAATTTTCCAATGAGCTGAGATACAGTAAAAGGCCAGAAATGTTTCTCCTGCTTCCTCTGGAGATCCCGGAGGAGGAGCGCGGTCGCTCCATCTCCCTCTGAATGCTGGTGTTCCCTTCCAGTTCCATGAGGATGGCTTCCTTGTGCTGGAGCGTTTCTTCACCGCGGAGGAGTGTGACAGGATGAGGGATCGGATTCAGCGCGTTATAGCCGAGATGGAAGTGCCTCCGCACTGCCGCACCGAGTTCTCCACCAAGGAGAAGGAGCAGCTCCAGGCGCAGGTACTGCCATGGGCAAGGCAGCCCCAAGCTCTGGAGGAGCAAAGGGAAAAGGCAAATCCTGGGATGAGCTGATGGGAGACAATGTTTAGAACTAGCTACTCAGGGTGGAGGTGGTCACCCCACATAAGAGCATCACTGATGGTCTTGACAGAGGGTGAAATAGGAGAGGGCCGATGTCCTGCAGAGCTCTCGGGGCAGCTGTTGCTCCTGGCGGCTGCAGCAGCTTGCGGGGATAGTTGTACTGCGCTTGTTCCATGCACAGAGAACAAGTTACGTCCTAGGGCTGTAAGAGTGACAATCAGCAACAGAAAAACATGGGCAGCCCATGTGTGTGCAGTGTTCTTGCAAAGCGCCAAGAAACCTGGTGCTGTGGAAAGCAGTTGTAAGAGGGATTTATTGATTGTATTTTGTTTATGCGGCGGCTCAATGGGAACAAGATGCAGGTGAGTAACTCTCCAGTGGGTGCTTTGGGCATGTGTTTATAAGGATACTCTCTTTACTGGGCTCTTATCTCTGGCAGGGCAGCTCAGATTATTTCCTGAACAGTGGAGACAAGATTAGATTCTTTTTTGAGAAGGGTGTTTTGGATGAGAAAGGTACGTTCCAATGTAAATGATCCACAGTGGATGGAGGGAGGAGGGAGCTGAGGGGAGAGATGGGAGAGTTTCAGGTGCATGGACTATTCCTGCTTTGCATATCCTGTTAAACTCTTACTTTGTTTCTTAGGTAACTTTCTCATTCCAAAGGAGAAATCTATCAGCAAGATTGGCCATGGTATGTTTAAGCAGTGGTGGTTTGGGGGAGGGGGTAAAAAAAAAAGTATTCTCAGAAATGAGGTTTTCTCTAGACCTGCCCATGATGAATAACTTAGGCCATTGAGTTTAAAACTTTCTTGCTGCAGAACTGATTTCCTCCTTGTTCTGCTACTTCTCATCATGCTCCATCAGGGCTACTGCACGCAATATTGCAAAAAATCACCCCCTTTTTGGTGTTATGGCCACATAGTTCCTTTCTTTGCAACCTCAGGCTGGTTTAGACTGCGTTTCTGCATTAAGTTCTTCAACTCAATTTCCCTATGTGTCAGTTGGCTTTTTATCATATATTTCTATCACCATCTCTGCAATTTTCTCCATGTTGAGGGAACTGCAGAGATTTCTGGTATCAAAAGACCTCAAAGTTTTCAGTTAAATCCCTGTTCAGAAAGCAGTTTCTAGGAGGTTTTTCAGCATGCATAGTGCAAAATCACTGACATGCAAAAGTTTGGACTTCAGCCCCTGTAACTCTTACATAAGAGATTTGTCTAACATTTAGTGCCTAAAATTGGTCACATTCAGTACAGTTCAAACCATGTCTTCCATGACCTGTACAATGGTGTGTTGCCAAAACTGTTTTACCTTCTTTGGTGTCACCAACATAGTTTCTTTACTTTTCCAGGTGTCAGTTGATGACCTATTTCCTCATTCCCAGCTACTGAACATGCATTTTCATCCCTTTTCCTTTCAAACAATACATGGAAAACATGAGCAGGATTCAGTCCATCTCCAACCCCACGAACTTTGTCCAGATTTTACTCCAGTCGACTTAGAAAGTCAGTACTGAGAGTTCTCATTTCTGTGGTTTTCTCAGGAAAACAACATTCTTAAGCAAAAAAAATCACCTTCCCACAGCCCCCCTTCCAGTCTGCTACACTTGAGCTTTTCCTCAGAGGAAGTGAGAACAACCGCGGGCGCCTGCTGACTCAGCAGCAGAACCGTGCAAGGCTCCTCTTGACTTATTTTTCTGTAATTACTCTTTTTGGTTGAGTCCGACGTCTTCTCTTGCTCTGTAGCAGCCCCTCCTGGTATAGTGTCCTAGCTGCAAGTTTGATCATAGCTCTGAGTGAACCAGAATTTGAGGTGTTTGCCTTAAATTTTGGCCAGAGTTGGACTCCAGCGAGCCAGCGTGCACGAACGGTGCTGACCTGCAGCTTGTGGTTCTGTGCTTAACGGAACCAAAGAGGATGTCTTTATTTTTTAAGAATAAATTCAGATAGTACTGCTCTTCTGGGTCATGTATAGTATCCATCATGTTCCAAATTGTGCATAATATTTAATCCCATGATACTTGAATCTTTTTCACTCTTAGCTATACAGTATTTTTTTAATATATATCTGCAATTTGCAGCCACTGAATTTTTGATCTCTAAGGAAGAACTGCAAGCATCACATCACCTTAGACATGTTGACAAGCCATGTATATGACAAATCCATTATTGGGAGAAAGTTTCTGGTTGCAATTTCTGTTGCTTGGCTGGAGTCTTCAGCAGCCCATCATAGACAGCATCCCGGTTCTCTTCTGCTACAGAAATTTTCAGCTTGAGTCTTTTCTTTTGCCTTAGCTTTACACGCTTACGATCCGGTCTTCAAGCAAATCACTCACTCCTCCAAGGTGCAGGTAAGATGCTACTGTTCTCTAGAACTGCCTGGAAAAAATAAATTATGGAATTGTTAATTTTGAATATTCTGGACTCCTAAGTAGAATCATTTTTGCCCATAAAAGGAAATTAAATATTTTCTAAGAATAATGCAGAAGTCATTTTTTCAGTTTTTTTTCCCAATGTGTTGTGTTTTTAAGGAACTGGGAAGAAAACTAGGCCTTGAGAGTCCAGTAATTGTGCAAAGCATGTATATCTTCAAGGTACAGTAATTCAAGTCTCCTTATTACTCAGTAAGACACTGTTCTATATGGGAAGCTGTGAAACTATTCTCTTCACAGACCTTCTTTCTTATTCTTGCAGCAACCTGGCATTGGTGGTGAAGGTGAGATTCATATAATCCCTGTACTACACTGCTGGTTATATTCCATCAGGAAAGGGGGCCAGAATCAGAATGAGACCTGAGGGTGTTTTTTTATGTCCTGAGTCTTGTTAAGGATTATAGGAAAAGGCATCCGATTTCCAGAAATACTTGTATATCCCGTGTGACATAATGAAATGACTAAATTTACATTTGCAGGAGGTTCAAACGTGGTATTTAAATGTATGGCTTAAAGAGAGTGCTAGATGGATGGAAAGGCAAGGTCAAGAAGACAAGCGCGCAGCCCTCCTGGCGTTTTGAGTTCTGCAGGCTTCCAAAGACACATCCAGTGTGTCTCGTTTCAGTGACTCCACACCAGGATGCCACGTTCCTGTACACAGAGCCCCTGGGCAGAGTCCTGGGCTTCTGGATTGCACTGGAGGATGCCACGCTGGAGAACGGCTGCTTATGGTTCATTCCTGGCTCTCACACCAGTAAGATTTATGCCGTTTTGGTGTATGCTGTGACACGTGCTCTCCTTTTACACTGAGCAGCGGACAGCAACGTGGATTGTATTGTGTTCTCAGCATCGTACAGTGCCTGCAGAAGCTGTTTTTTCTCCAAGTTGCATTCCCTTTGTAAAAATTCCACTTTTGTTGCCCTGAGCTACGTCTAGTAACATTTTTATCCCTGACAGTGATACTCGAGGGGACTAAAAGTCCTCTTCCCTGATGACTGTCAAATACAGGTCAGAAGGACGTTAAGCAAGAAAGCCTCCAGATCCTACATGAGGGTCACCTGGACCGCACTGAAGCAACTGGGGAACAGTGGCTCAGAGGAACACGCAGACTGAACCAAATCAAAACCAACTCGTGTAGTATCTGTTGTGACTGATGGAAGATGCCCTATACTTCTAACCACTATTGGGTTATTAGCACAGTTTTGAGTTTATTTCACTACCTATAGGGCATGTTCTTTAACTTCAAACTGTTGCTCATCTAAGCTTTTACTCAGACTAACCATAATGCTCTTAATTTTTTAAGACACAAACATATTATGGAGTCAACAAATTTTGCACTCATATTTCAATTTATGCTGTTCTAGAAAAGAGAAACAGACCAAAGGTTGGCTTTGCATAAGTGCACAACTATGTGTGTTCCTTGAGACCTGTGTTGCAATGCCCAGAAAGAGCCAGGAAGCCAAACAAAAGGCAGCTGCATCACTTCTTCCACAGCTGGAAAATCCTAAATCCTTAATGAAAAGCTTAATGAAAAACAAAGCTATGGTTTATTCCAATCAGTGCCAAGAGAAATCACAGATGTTCTGCAGCTGTGTATGATCTAGTTGGCTGTTAAACCTCTGTGCATGTTTTTGTTCTGTGGATTTGCAGGTGGAATTACCCGGAGAATGGTCCGTGCCTCACCAGGCACCTCAACGTGTGTAGAGTTTATAGGGTCAGAGCCAACGTATGAAGACAACAGATTCATACCTGTGCCTATAAGCAAAGGTAAAAAGAACACCCCAAAACAAGACCCTGCTTAAATTTTCCTTATGTTGATTGTCATTTTTAAGGGTAATTCTGAATTTTTGGTACACAAAAACACAACAGACTTTCTGCAAACAGGTGGACTTATTCTTATCCATGGTGAAGTTGTCCATAAGAGTGAGTTGAACACGTCCGAGCTTTCTCGCCATGCCTTCACCTTCCATGTGATGGAAGCCAAAGACACCAGCTGGAGCAAAGAGAACTGGTAAGGCCGCCTTTATAACAGGCACCTAAGGAGCTTTTTCAATGCAATAACCAAGATGAGTCTTGTTTTCTTGCATGCCATTGGCAGCTCTATGCTGTTGGTACACGCAGGAAGCTGTTCTCTGTATTTGGTTGAGCTATGCTGGCCACAGCTTTGCTTAAATATATGCTGAGGAGCTTCATAGTATGGTCTCCAAGCATGAACACGAAGTTTTCTCTCCATCAGACCAATTGCAGTATTAGGCCTAAGATTTTCTAGTTCAGGAGCAAGTACCAGCTCCCTAGTGCCCCCAGCTCCTCCTCAGGAGAGGTGAGAAGTGTCTCCACCAATGGCACTCCCTAATACTGTACAACTGAATCTGCTTGATTTCAACCCATGATAAACAAAGTTGCAATACTTGCCTGTCGTTCTGCAATCAGTTCTCTTGGGAACAGAACAAAACTTAATAAAATGGAATGAGAAATGAGAAACATGTCCCTTAAAAGCTTTTATTAGCTTTATTTTTTTAAGTTGTCAAACTTGACATTTTTAATGATTTATTGGGATCATATGCAGTAAGCATATATGAGACAGGAGCATGCTTAAAATCCATAATGTGTTTTTGTCTCAGAAAAGTATGCAATCAGAAAAGTTGCATGCCTTGGGGTGCCTTCCAATTTAAGCAATTTGCACTGGATAAACAACTGAGTGCTGGGAAGACAGAACTACTGAGTTTGTAAAGCTCAAACTAAAGAGTCCTAAATGTTTGGCCTAAATGGATCAGATTTTGCTCCAGGAGTTAAAAATGCTCCTTTGGGCACAGTTAGTTTCTGTCAGTCGTATCTCAGTAGTGATTTCTCATTGGAACTGGAATGACTTCTGAAGTTTTGTTTTTAACTCTTCTTTACTTTGCAGGCTCCAGCCAACTCCTGAACTGCCTTTTCCATCACTCTATACCTGAAATTAGTGTTTGGCTTCTGCAGTCAAATAGTTGATTGATATTCCTTTCTGATTCCTTTCTGTTTCTGCTCCCTTTGAATAGAACTTTCCTTAGATCAGATCCTGCCTTTGCTCAGGAGGAGGCATCTTCACACAGCAGAATATGTTGCTTTAGACGAGCTGTCTACTACAGCACGAGCCCTCCTAGCACCTACGTGGGGCTCCCAGTGCTTTAGGTGAGGGAACAGACCTGTAAAGACCTTTGCACCTTGACTGTGGGACCAATTAAGAAGTAATTCTTCAGGATGCTTAGTATTGTCTTCTACTTTTGTCAAGAGCTTATGTCTTGTGTATTTACTCAGTCAGTTTTATCCCAGCAACACAGGTGAATCTGTCTCGTGAAGAAAGCTGACTTTTAGCCAACCTGTCTGGCTGCTCAACTAATACTAATTAAAAATGATGCTATTGTGGGCAAAATGAAGCAGGAAGTCCACTTGTGTGATCAATCTTCTGACTATTGGCAAATTACAGTTGAGTGTTTGATCTGTAGGTTTAACTCTTGGTAATTAATATATTACAGATCTTAAGGATTCATGCTGAAGTTATGAAGACAAAAATTCAGACCACTAACATTTAAATAAATAAATAAGCAGAAACTGTCCTTTTTCTATTCATTTATATAATTTTTAAGGAGACATAATTGAACAAAGATGTCATTTCTCTATCGAACAAACCATGGAAACTTCTTTGGAAATGTGTTCTAGGTGACCCTAAGGTTGGATTAGATGATCTCCAGAGGATCCTTTCAACCTCAACCTTTCTGTGACCCTTCTCCCAGTGTCCTAGGCCAGAGCAAAGATACGTGATACATGCACAAGAAATACTAGCCCCCGAATTCCAACAAAAACGTCAAACAACAAAAAAGTAATCTGGAGTTGCGTCCTCCAGCAAATTTCTGTGGCCAGCCAAGCTAATGAGGAAAAAGGCAGAAGGCAGGAGATGAGGTACTTCATCTCCTAAATAATATATTTTTTTCTTTCACTTTTTTGAGTGCCTAGTATCAATTGAATATTTTGCAACCATGCTGTTGAAGAATGAGGAAAACACAAAATACAGTCTTTGGAAGAAAGAAAAGGGATAAGAAGAAAAAGGTGAAGGCAACACCTTGTTTTTGATGGAGACTGAGGTAGTAAGAAACCTGTATCCAAATGTAGATCAAGGCAGCAGAATGGCTGAGCAGCAGTCATAACAGTTGATGAGTAATTAACTTTTATGGCTGAGCTGTTTGAAAAGCAGTCAATTCACATCTTGTGGATTTTAGTTCAACTCTTAATGTCAAGGAATGCCCTGCCAAGGTGGTCTAGGACTAATCTTTACATTTAAACCTATTTTTTTTCCTTAAACATTTTGGATACAGGCTGATCCAGATTTCTCTTTGCCTAGCAGTCAAAATCTGCATAAATGTAGTCTCAAATGGATTAAGGAGATTACTTTATTTCCTTTTCTAGGCATACATTTTAATTTTTAAAAGTTTGATGTAAAAAAACAATCTCATAAGCAGAATAAAATTCTAAATTTTGCAAGTTATTTTTAGAAGTGATATAAAAATAGACCAGTCCTGCCAGTGCTCAGTTAGATGAATTTTGCTCTGCTGATGGCAGAATGGACTTGAATATATTCGCTTATTTCCTATAGTATACTCCCTGCCAAAGTAAGCTGGTTTGGGAGCAAGGGTCCAGTTCTCACAGACTCATTCTTTTGAAAAGTATATTGCTTGCCTCTGGCATTTGCCTAACATGAAACAGTCAAGTTTGTTCAGGGTAAGAAATTTTCCTTTTGTCCTTTGCTGGGCAATGCAGAATAGGTCATGATGACAAGGAATTTTTCATAATCTTAAATTACTGTAATAGGTTTGAGGAAGCTGCATACGGGCAACTGCAGTAATGGTGAGTGCCAAGTTTCTGCTGGTACCAAGTTTTGGTTGCTGTCCTTTCCTGCCTTTTCTAGAGTTTGTTTGAAAGCTATGAGCCGCAGGAGAGGAGAGTGACTAACTTGGCTATTTTATGACTTCAGTAGGGTATAAATCATTGCTCTGAACTTGAAGACTCATGATGCAAAAACAATTTTCCTTATCTTCCCCCTGGAGTAGTTAATCTTCTAGAATAGCGCCTCTCTGCTGAGTAATGTTTGTTCTCTGATTTTATGTACCCCCTGCCACTTACAAAAAACTCCTACTGCAAGTGTATAAAAAAAAACCCCAAAACAAAAGCTTAAGCTGAATTTGCTAGATTTATGGTTATGGAAGAAGGGAAATTTTTAGGAACAATTCCTGAGCCTAGTTTCCTAGCATGAGTATCTGGAAAAATCTATTTTTGAAGTCCTCAAAAGTCACACCCAGGCAAGGAGCTTGGGCAATGCTGCCTCTCAGCTATTCAAGCCCTGGTTTGTGCCAGGCACAAGTGCAACCTATAATTGTTTCTGGGGCCAGTTTTGTCATCTCTCTTTTCAGGCTCATTTTACCCTTGGTCTTATTTTCATCCATAAGATACATCTTTTGGTTAGGGCTATATGACAGGATTGTTTAAGGTATCTTGTATTTGCAGTGAAACTTTCCCCAAAGTCTGCTGTCATCCCTCTATATGATTAAGTAGTGTCAGAAATTAATTCCATTCTTCAAACGGGAATTATTGAATGCAAATTAATGCTTAGGCTTCTCCCAGGAAAATGAAAGGGGCAGGGAAGATATGAACTAACATGTTGCTCTAACATTGGCAAAAAGTGATTTATACAGAGACAAGAGGAGTTCACTTGTGCAGTACTAGATGGACAGTGGGACTCAGTGCAGTGGAATGAATTTTATAAACTGGCTCTGATGTCCTATAGAGGTAGCAAAATAGGGGAGGTTTGAATATTTTTTCCTCTAATTGACTTACCTCTTTTTCTTTTATTCCCTATGGCCACCAAAAGGAGACTTGGAGATAGTGTTTGTGGTTTACTAATAAAATTGTTTGTGTTCCTGTGAGAAGATAAACCAACCCCTTTTTTTATACAGGAGGGGGCAGGGGGAGAAACAGGAGACCAAAACAAAGTCTTTATTTTTAAATAGTGTTTTTTCCATTTGTTTAACAATTTTACCTGCTGTACCAAACACAATATTTAGATAGTCTTTGAACTCTCAATACAGTGCACATTCTATTCCCATTTTTCACTAAAAAGGGAGAAACCTTTGTTTCTGGAAATGCTTCTAAGCCATTAACATTATTTGGAGGTAGAGAGGCAACAACAGGTTATCTATTTGCGTCGTATAAGCTTCCAAAAGAGAAACTAAGCTCACAGACCCCAGAATCCAGGCATAACTGGAGTTCAGATTCACACTGCTGTCAAAGATGAGAATTAGAGCCACAGCAATGATCTGAGCAAAAATAGCCATCATTGTCCCTTCAAAGGTCTTCTTTGTTCCTGGCCATTTGATTTCCCCCATTGTGCTGCCCAAAACTGAAGCCATAGTGTCTCCTACCCCTACTGCCAGCACCCCAGAGTAGGGGACCAGAGCTCCTGCCCCAGACAAGGTACCTTTAGGAGCACAAGGTCTTGGAAACAACCACACTGGAAGGGACATGCCAAGAAGAAGATAAATATGAGTCAAGATTAGAGGTCCACTGTCTCTTTCATCCAAGAAGAGAGACAGCAAATGCCTAAGGGTTTGGCCAAAGGGTTTGATCCTGAAATACCGAATGTATTCCAGGAAGATAAACACTGCCAGACACAACACTGCAGCAACGTAGAGAAGCTGGCGGTCGTAGATCAGCCCAGGGACGTAAGTAGCTACCACAATGAAATGGAAACATTTCCTGGTTATGGTTGAAGCCTGGTGTTTCTTAGACTCAGATGATCTTTTAGCATTCTGGTAGAAAACCACGGCGCATGCTGAAGCAGCCAACATGGTCCAATACACAAGGAGGTAAACTCTTGTCTGCGTCTGAAATAGAAACTGGAGTAGCCAGAACAAAGGATTCCTCTGGATCAGCCGGTAAAGCCAAGGCATGATGACCCCTAGGCCTAACACAGCTGTCATCATGTGGAAGAACATGGAGGAGATCCAGGTACCCGAATCCATGAAAAGGAAGAGAACAGTGAAAATAATCCCAAGCAGAACAACTCCGACAACTGTCACCAGAAGGAAAAAGTCTATGGGGTCACCTCTGCTCTCCACTACGTTCAGTGAACGCTTAATGAGCTGATTGAGCACAAAACTTATACCCTCAATAACTAATAACGCTTCTCCAGGAGTAAAACATCGAGGCAACAAGTAGAGCAAGATCATACTGAGGTAGACAAAAATTAGCAGCACTTCTAGGACCTCTATCACTTCTGAAACTGTCAAAGAGTGCTTCATGGTATAGATTATTATACTGCCAGCAATGCCAGTAAGTATGCAAGTGTTGGTTGGCACAGGTTTTGTGATGCCAACTGCTATTACAGACAGAAAGAGAGCAACCAGCATGCCAGTGGAGGCTACAACTATGCCAAAACGTTCGAAGAATACAATGCCAGCAGACTTGCATCTCTCCTTCATCACTATCCCCAACAAGGGGACGACCATGCTAGCTGGGAGGAGGCCACTGTTGGCTGTTGTACGGAACTGGAACACAGCTCCACCCAGCTGGAGCAGACGGTCCCACTTGAATTGGACATAGAAAGCCTGGACAGCAAGAGCGATAGCACACCAGGAATGTCGGTCCCACACCACCGTGTGCACACACAGAACAGCGATGAACACAATCAGGGATTCCACCAGCAAGGGCTTGTTTAACATGATTCCAGCGTGACGTGGCTCAAGCTTTCAAAAATCTTTCTCACGAGTCCCAAATATTCTCAACAGTGCTCCATCAGTAAGAATTCCCTTTCATCCTACTGCAATTCCTATTAAAAAAAGAACAGACAATTAAAGCAACTACTGGAAAGGCTAAAGCTTCCACACAGCTGTGTTGTTCTTAAGCCCAGTTGAAACTGATAGCTGTGGGCAAGCTATCAATGGCAACACATAGCCCAAGGAAAAAATAAAATCAAATAGATGAGGGATCAGCCAACATTTTTATTCCAATTTAAGAATCAGAAAAGTCAGTCTGCAATGATAGAAATGAAACACTTGGTACTGTGGTTTTTGTTTCAGTGTCTTGGAATAGAAATATGAAGCTAACAAACCATAAATATGCCCAGAGGATTTGGTGAGGTATTGTAGCAATGCACATTTGAAATGCAATGAATTTAAAATACTCTAGGGGTAGTTTTAGGACCTAGCATCATATGGTGTTTTTGCTGTAGTTCTGAAGCATTTTCCTCCTTCAAGATATATTTCCCCTCCCACTGCTTGGAAAGGAAAAAAAAAAGCTCTCCCTCCACTATTGATGTTATGATTCAATAGGTCAGTTACTACTGCAGCTGTTTTATGTCTTTAAAATGCAGTGTTTACACAGAAGTAAGAATGGAAATATTGTAATTAAATAGTTTAGCTCATCTAATTTTGACCAATGCCACAACTGTCAAGATAAGCTGAGAGCTGAGCTCAGAAAAAAATCCAATAATGGGAGCTCCTCTCGCCTATAGCC